GAGGTAAGACACTGTCTCGAATATTATCCCAAGTAGAGTTATATCCATCTATCGGATGGCCAAGAACATGCCCGTATGTTTCACCATTTGGATCCGCCAGATCGAGATTTTCCAAAACTAACCCTGGAGGTTCTGTGTGATGCACTACACGAGTCCAGTTTCCAACAGCGATTAACCTAACGCGACATGCCAAGAGACTGAGATGTATCCCGCTCCAACAAAATTTTATCCTCATAATCTGAGGTCAAGAGAAGTGTAAAGACATTTATTTCAAGTGCTGAACCTAAAAGACAAGCTGGGGAGGATCTCGTGGTAATTCGTATGTACTGTGTCACATTGAGAATTATTTTTGATGGTGTTTCTGTCTGCCTTTTTCAGCGTCCACCAGATTGTTTGCCGAATAACAAGCATGAATTCTGAACCTTCAGTCTTCCGCACCAATCGAATCGATTGATTGTGTGGGTATTCATTACACCTAAGGCAGTGGGTTCTGGTCTATCGATTTAGAGAAGGTAGTAATAAAATTGTCGATGACAGCACAAATGAGGGCACATATTCGTGGTTCCGCAGCCGTGTTAATCTGATGGCACCATTTCGCTTTGTTGTGAAGATTTTTAGTTCTTGCAATGTCGAACTGCGGCGTATGATGCGGTTCAAAATTTAAAAAAAAACAACGACAGTCAGAAGGTAAAGACTAAAACCGACTGCGTTCCAAGCGCCCTCCATATTCCGATCAAAAGTTCCAATTGATAGCCAAAGTGGACAATGTTATACAGAATCGGTTTCTGTTTTTCAACACACTAAAACGCGTGAAGGGAAAAGGTAATTCGTTAAAGGTTCTCATTTCAAACACTTTAAGAATAGCTTATTTCTTCAACAAACAATGACGGTGTTCCGCTGGTATCAAAATGTTGACAGTTTGCCTATGTGAATGATCAATAAGTGGACTGTTTTCTTGGCCTCGGTACATTTATAAACAACACATGTGATCTTATCAGTCGGCGAATGTGTTGAGCTCCCGCCAAACACATGATCACCTATCACTGTGGATTGAATCGTGAAGTCATTGTATTACCTCTATAGATTGAAAGATTGACTTACACAAAGAAATCACCTGGATTTATCAACCACAAAACAAATTATGAACAGCAGTTGCTATTATGATACTGCCGCTTACTGATAGATGAGGTGCAAACGCACGGAAAGGGCACACGACTAGATTGAGAGCGTATTAACATATTGACAAGTCACGATATGCTCTATACACCTAGTTAGGTGAATTTTTAGCGGTTTGTGGAAGATTACAGTGGAGAAAATTGTACATATTGTTCAGAAAGGAAGCAGTAAAAGAAGAGGAAGAACCTCCGGAGTGGTAACAGTTCATACCCGTTTTACTAGAAAGCGAGTAAGATAAGTAACTTTACTGTTCACGTAAGCGGCTCAATGAGTAGGTGAAGGTGTAAACTGGGAGCCTGTATGACCAGTCAATGGGAATTTCATGCAATGCTTTTTGTTCCACCAGCAAACTTATGAAAGGCAAAACAATTTATTCAAATCAAATCAAATTTTTATCATGGGATATAACTTACAAAGACTTTGCTTTTACAAATCCCATAGGGTGTTTACACATTGGTTCGGATGAAGAATCACAATATCACAGTCCATGAAAGTAAAGTAGTAAAGTAATGTTTTGACGAGCACAGGAGAATATGTTATGTAGTTGGGTGTTGAAATGTAACGTTTGCCAGGGCATCATCAAGCTGACGCTTGAATCATACTAATGTTGGGGCACAGACAACGTGAGCTGGTAGAGAGTTCCATGTGCTGCACACTCTGACTGCAAACGAGTGACGTCTGCAGTCGAGACGGCTCTTTTGGTGTGCCAACTTCAGCGGATGCCCTCTGAGATGAACGTTGTGCGATAAAACCAACAGAGACAACCTTGGTTAACCATCCATATTTCGAGTTAGAAGTTGAACAGAAGTGAGGAAAAAGGTAAGGTCTTCATCCTTTAGTCCGGGAGAAAATGTAGTCGGCGGGCAATATAATCAGCGAGGGAGATCGTGCAAGCCATTACCAATCCAACGGTATTCTTTTAGGAAGGATCTAGTCCCCCAATCAAAACTATTGAAGGTAAAACCTCCGAAATCATGAAGAGAAAATTTTTCATAAAATTGATGCCTCAATCATCCGAACGGTCATCTTTGCCTCTAGGTTGTTTTGCGTCTATGGTACCAATCAACCGCTTATCTACGCTTTCACTGTGCTATCGTTATCCTTGTGTGTCTCTATTCACACTACAATAAAAGCTGTTAAGTGTCTGCGGTGGTTTTGGTCACGATATTTTCCGCTACCTATTTCGTAAAGTAATGGTGAGGGGATTGAATGGGAGTAATTCAAGCCAAGTTTATTTCAAAAGAAAACAGACACGAAAAGCAAGCTCACTAGACATGCGTGGAAAGTGAATAGATGTGTGAGTACCACTGTTTACAATACCCAGCCCTATTTGTCTGGATGTCTAACTGTCCATTAGATTGGCCAAGAGGTTCCCAAACATTACCCACATTACTTTTTTGCTCAAAGCGCCTGAGACGGGTATCACGATCATAGACCGAAATCTAAACTCTCGCGTTTACCGTCGTCCGAAGAAGACCATCTAGGAGGTCCCCGTGGTCTTGAGGCGTCGTTCAGATAATGGGAATGGACTTATTAACCTGCACTCGGTCTGTCCCTGGTTAGCACGAACTTCGAAGAGTCACTTAAGCAATTGGAGTAACTTCTCACGGGGGCAGATATGAACCAAGATTCACCACAGATATAGATTGTATGGTATGAGAAAAAACTCGTTCTAATTGGTCTGATTGCTTGAACTCTGACCGTGCACCAAGTTCTCCGTGCAAAAATGCGCTGAAACAACTTGAAATTAACAAGCTTTCCGACCCATTCGCGCGGGTTGATGATTAAATGAGTTTACCTCAAGGTTAGCTACTATCACACTGAGGGGTGTAGAACAACACTGAGAAATCATGCAAGACGCAGATACACTACGAAGACAATGCTTTGAGCTGTCTTCCAGTGCTACCTGAGTCGTATAGACTCCGGCAACAAGCGAAACCTGTTAGCCGTAAGTGTGGAAGCTGCGGGAGGTGNCAACTTGCTAGTTGTAAAAGTGGTCACCGACTCGATTGGGTCTTCAGGTGTATTGGGCAACTTTGACATTTGACCCCGTATAATAAGTGTATAAACCAATGAACTGGACACCGGGTCCCATTGGCTTGCGGTCTTCACTCACCGCTCGGCTATTTTGCTGGTCAGACTTTGGCCAACTCAAGGCTCTGGCTGTGAATTCCTCAAGCCTTGCCCTGAAAAACCTGGCAGTATTCCGTCCACAACCAAATCATGGAAATTTCTCTTTCTTCAAAAAGATTATCATTGCACTGTGATTTGTTTGGTATACAATCTGAACTCAGACATGTGAAATCCGGAGAGAGATCTGATACCTACCCTGATTAAACTGCGTCTTCAAGTTAGTCCTTGTTGTTGGTTTTCTGGGTTGCATACGCATACCAAGCATCGAACCGGAAGAGGATTCTTAACTAGCTGGGTTCAACCAAAGTGAACTGGGATTATAAACTAGTACAGCAATATTGCATTATCTGTCATATGAATTGAGTAACATATTTTTTGCTTCGTTGTGATTCACGGATTTGTTAAGCGGATCCGACAAGACGTTTGCCGTTGACAATAAAACCAGGTTAAAACATACGTACGGTGGACATTGACGACAAGGCAATAGGCAGCTTTGCGGTCCTCCGGCTCTATACTATGCTTACACTCGTAGGGTCTTACGTAAGTCGCCACTGTAAGTCTTGGGGCTTAAGTTACTGCTCTCTGTGAATAAACGACAGATCTGCATGATCATGGGGTTCATCCGGCCTGTTGCTTCTCACAAAACCCAACGCATAGCACTGACGAAAGACTTCGATTTTCGACATAATATGCACTGTAAAACCTATACATTTTGTGGAAGCAATAGAGCTTAAATTAGAAAAAAGTGAAACTTGGAGAATGCTTACCAAACTGAACAGAATGACTACTTTTGTTTTATCATCTCGCTCCAGTTCGCTCATAGCGGCAGACATTTCTTCAACGAAAACCCTGCTCAGGGCATTTTTCTTTTGTTCAAATTTCATGGTAAACAATGCCACTCCGTCTAGATAGGAACGATCAATGAACACGCGGCGATCCACTTTCTTTAACTGATCCAGGGATGATCGAGTTCCACATGTTGCATACAGACGTGCACAATGCGGGAGAGCGAGAACTGTTCGTTTTGCAGACAAAAACCTCCTGCGGCGTTGATGCGTGTATCCAACATACAATGAGACGTAGAAACAAAAGCATCGAGTTGACAAGGGCGTAATAGGAGGTTGACACTTGGGTAACAAACTAATACCCTGGTGACATCAGTAAGATATAATTAATAATAATCATAATAATTAATGTTTTTTATTGGTCATCTTCAATCTCACAATATACGCTGGGTAAATATGAACGTGCAAGCTACGAAAACGGGAGTGAGGCGATCCGGTTAACGTTAACTCCATGTGCAAAGCACTTCAAACTAACTAAGTTAACAGGAAACGACAACAGAAGGCATCATTACTTTCGGTTCACTGTTCTATACACCGTGTTTTCAGTTCAGTAGTTGGGAAATTGAAAGAATAGGGTCATGTTTTACAGACTCTTACCGGACATGCATAGTACATATCCAAACAACCTAAGTCTATTAATGTTAGTTCGTCGTGAAGAGTTTCCCGTCAAACTTAAACAACGTGCGTTTTACCTCGATGGTGCCAATCTACTGATTTCTACTCACGCGTGTCAAACGAGAAAACATCAACGATCCAAAATCTCTGGCAAACGGATGTCTTCGACGCAAAACCGAAGAAAGTAGATAGTGAAAATAGGAACAACCGAGAGACACGGTTACTGCTTTCCGATGAACTACTTGTTTCACCACACGGTGTAAGTAGAATAAATTCGACCAGTTCACGTACTTCTGGTAGAGGGCGTACACAGCAAAGTACACAGAAGCAGTGACATAAGTGGATATTATATCAGATATGTTGCGTCTGATGTGGGGCAATATTATATTCAATCCCGTAAATGAGGCTGGAAAAACGAAGCATTGAGAGGAACAAATGTGATGAAAATCAGGATGTTGCACGAGTTTGGTCAATACCTGTATATACACTGCTAGTTTCTTGAACAACTAAAAGATTCACCCTTGATGCAGTCTTACTGAATGCATTTCCTCAACTCAAACCCTGAATAGACTTAGCCGTGTTAGGTGCAACTGCCATTCGCTTGTTTCATGATCAAGTATGCGATCGCACTCCTCGTTTCGTTGGGAGCATAGTGGGGGGCGGGTGTCTTGTGTTGTGGTCGGTCATTTTTCTCTTGTACCTCACGAAATACTCCTATGCGACCAAGCGTCTCAAATGGCACTTGTTGAGGAAGCCTTACCCATTGCCCTACCGTGGCGAAGGTGTTTTCTCGCCAAAGTGGAAGGACGAAAAGCCCATGTCCAGGGCTATCACCGGGTCGGTGAATCACTAGCAGTTCACCTAAGGGAGTTGGCGAAAAACCGTGATTCCAAACCAAACAACTGGAGGTATATGAACCACAAGACATCCACTTCTTCTTGGTTGTGGAGGTAGCCATTAACACAATTAGGTATCCAGGTGTGGTGGGCACCTTGGATGTTTGATCTCGTATGATCCGACGAACCGGCTCTCAATGGATTGTTGCTGTCACTCACCTTCCCGCTAGGCTGCGGGTTATGCTTTGGCTCCGGTTGTGAATTCCCATTCCCCCTTCCCCAAAAACACTCACCAGCCATGCTCTGGGCAACCTAGGAGTATTCTATCCACAAGAAAACCATGGAAATTTTTCTTTTCATACAGATTATTATACTGTTTTGTTAGGAACAATGTGGAGGGGACCTGCTTAGTGTTCCAAACCTTACAGAACAAATACACTAATTTTCTAGCAAGCTTTATTTCACCGTCTTTAAAAAGAGCCGAGGAAGAACGCCGGAGCCAGCAATCTGTGACGCCCAGGGCTTGGATCTCCCCACGGATTTCCGCCGCAGCAAGTGCCTCTGTCGAGGGAAACTATGGGACGTGTGCTGAAATAGTCGTGTGAGAAGCCGACGCTGGTGGTCATATTACATGGTTGCAGCACGTTCCGTCTCTGAATCACGTAGAGACCACTAGATATCGCGGTTTGTGAGAAGGCTTGCGTTAAGTTCACGTCTCGTAACGATTCGTGTTATGTCAAGCTTGCTGCCGGTCAGTATTAGTCGGCATGCATCAAGAAAGTGCAGAAACTCAACGGAGATTCTTGATATCACGAAATGTGTAAGACCACAACTAACCAAGCGATAAGAATGATGAGCATTCTTGACAAATATGTTGCATTTTATGCTTCCAAAACCTCCCGTCGTTTAGTTTCTCTGAAATACCGTTCATCCCCCTCTAATTATCTTTTGATTCCACCCAATCGGATTGACTGTTAGATTCTTTGTGTCGGTCAAGTTTTATAAATCACTTTGCGTTACGTACTGAGCGGGAAGTTGCATTGTGGTTTCGTGCCAGAAGCTACGTCACGCGAACTCACCTTTTTCTACTGTACAAAACTGAAATCCGCCCGACTCTTGAATACTGTAGTCATATGTGAGGTGCGGCTTTGTTTTCTGCTTTTTCCCTTCTTCGTCGTCTTCAACAAAAGCCGGCTCGTCAATGAACCTTCCATAACTTCTAGTCTGCGGTCACTAACCCATCGTCGGGCCGTTACTTCTCATTCCGTTCTCTACCGTCAGCATTTTATTTCTTGTTCTGGTTGGTTGTTACCTCACGGCTTCCCATTTGTATTAAAGTGTAGACGAAAGATTAAAATGTTGAGAGCGGAGTAAAGGAGATGGAAAAATCAAATAGAATAAGGTTGCAACGATAATGAGTGGTTTAGCGAGAATCACTGTTTGCGATAATCCCTCTAGGGAGCCTCACGTGAGCAATATGACTGGGTCTCTCGGTCAGGGTTTTTATACCTTCAGGCTAGGTCTCAGTTTGACCACCTCTGGCAGTGAGTAGGGTTTCCTTAGACGAGGCTATTTGAGAAGCTTGGTCATATAGGAGCATTTCGCGGTGTAAGAGAAGAGTGACCATTCGCAACCCGAGACACACCCCGACCATACTGACGAACTCGGAGGCTCTACCATAGTGAGCCCGCTGAACCTCCGTCCTTAAAAGCCGAAGGAAACAGCCTATTCGGGCCGGAGGCTTTATACCTTTTGAGATAACTTATTTCCCGGGATTGATATCTACCCAGCTGGAGCAGGTACAGGGAGGTCTTGTGTCAACGGGGGCCAGTTGAACTATACCTTAAAATGTTCTGCTCATCACTCGAGACGACGTTGCTGATGAAAAATCAGTGTACTTACACTTTACAATTACCGCATTAGCGTCTACTCTCCCTGAGCCCGAACCCCTGATCAGATGTAAAAGGTTGCGGCTATCACCAATGGCCACAACCTTCTCCATCTCCCTCAATTTCCCTAACCACCACTTTACGAAGTCATTCCTCAGACTCTTGATGAGCTAACTTAGGGATTTGCACGCTGTATCGTATTGGGCATCAGGAGGAATGGCTATGCGAGCGTCCTGCAGGGTGATCGAGGATGAGGAGGAGATTCTTGGTTTGTAGTTTGATCGTGCGCATGAATCCACCGTTGTTTTGATTGATATTTGGATGGTTTTCTTGATCAAATTCCAGTGCCCACTGAGTTTTTCGACTGGTGGTTGAGCTGAGAGGCGATAAGACAAACCCGTTTTGAAGGCTGATTTGCAACTATTGCTTAATATGTATTGTAAGCATCTGTTTCCGGTAGCCTTTCCACGGTTGTTGTTGTTTACCAGGCGTAGGAAGAATCTGGCGCCTAACATAGCATGATTCGTGTACGTTAGTGAGAGCGGCAGTCTTCGAGGGATCCTCGCCAGGGGTGGCTGATGGCGATGTGGTCGATTTGAGTTCATCAATACGAAGGGATGGGCGGTTTCGATGTAAATCAGTCTGTCCTAGTGAAAGAAGTTGGTTCTTGACAGGAACAATTTATGGTCAGCGCAGTTGAATTAAGTGATATTCGCTGTTCACCCTGCTGGTTTATGTTGCATATGGACCCCCAAGAAGCCTTTTTAATGCATCCGGGAATCCCAATTGAGCATGGAAGACTTCAGCGACACCTACTACGTTCGTTGACCGAGCACATTGGAGCAGTTGAGAAATGTTCCTGTAAAATTCACCAGTCATCGCTGGCGAACGGCTATCAGTCGGTAAATACACGGACAGGACAAACAAGCACGGAAGCTTTATTCTGTAACTGTTGACCTCTGCTGGTCCGTCGAGACACAGCGCAGTCAACTAGTAACCGGAATCTAAAGAAGAAGTGAATGCTCAACCTTGACGCCTAGCGCAATCCCAACACCAGAAACATTGCGATGGTCGGATGCCGAATGGCCTGACACACGGAGAGTGAAGCGTGATAATGAGACTGAATCTAGAGATCGCTAGATGCTGATTGAGCTGGGGCCTTGTATGCGTGTTTCTGAGAAAAAGCATACATCTAAATTGGAAGTTTCAAAGGTTCTAACTAAGGCAGCCTGTTGGTTGATCCAATAGCGTGCGGGCATAAAATGCAGCCAAGTGAAAAGGGGATTTTGGTTTCAAAAACCAGATAGCTTCTGGTTAGTTTAAAGCTATGATGTCCGATGGGTGACGCAAACAGGAGGCATGTCCTGAGATTTAGGAGTGAAAGGAAGAACTGGGCAGACGAGAAAGAGGGTTTTCTAAATGGGCACGAGTTTTGCGGGAGTTCATATCAAAGAAGGCAACTCTCAAAGGGACCTTTGACCCAAATGTCCTACAAGGCAGCGTTACCGTTGTGTGTTATTGTATATTATTATTATTATATTATCCTTCACACTTGTCTGAGGACAGACTGTGCCAAACAAATCATGGTACAATAGTCTTTATTAAA